TCATCATCATCATCATCAGTACACGTTAGCTGAGGGCGAGAAAAACAGATAACGTGCCGCAATACAAAAGGATAAGAGACTAAAAAAATTACACCACGAAAAAATCTCATGTTAAATATTATATTATGCGTTTTGCATGAGATTGGGATTGGAGGGGGGGACCTAGAGGGAGGGAGATGGACAAAGAAACTCACAACACAAACGCCATTGGGGCCGGCTTTTCGCCATATCAGTAAGTGTGTCCGACCAAACGTGTTCATCGTCCTTAGGACCCCAGCCAGGCAGTCGCGATGCGCCAACCGAGGCCAACTTCGAAATGAGAGTTTTCCTTTCTCGCGACCAAGTCAACGCTTGGCCTCCCCTCCTTCTTTTTCAACCGCACCCCCGGCGCACAAACAATGCACGTCGCGGGGTCGGTGTACTGGCATGCATAACACGTGGCACAGCCATCGGAGCCTGGTGCATGGTGCTGAGGGGTTCCCTAACTCTTCCTGCACCAAATACGCGACGCCGAACACGCTCATTGCTTACGCGGTGCTCCCACCAGACATAAGCTAAGCTGCGAAGGCAGCGATATGACATACCATCACAGATAGCTGGCTATCGTGCAAAGATAAGGCGGCATCAGCGAGACAGCTTCATTGTGGCTTTCACTGACCCGCGTCATAATCAGCCGTTACCCCGCAGATAAATCAGCACCAATCACAATCAGGCAGTCTGACTAGGAGACAACAGCAGATACGCCCCTGGTGTTGACTGCGAGCCGTCCTGTAACGTGTCGAGCCAAGCACATGGCGAGTCACGTGGACTCAAGTCTGGAAGGCGAAATGGACCGATGGAACCGAGTTGGGTCCTCAGTGACTTCAATTCCCGTTGCCAAGTTCATTTTGCCCACCTCGGGTATTGCACCATCCTAAATCTGGCAAACAAAGCAAGGCCCTCCGCGATAAGCGGTGACCAAACATACGTAGTACGTGCCCAAGGCAACACCACTTATTCAGTGTTATCTGTTGTTATCACTGCCTAGTACTCGCTTACACACCTCATCGTTGCGGACATGCTGATGACATCCGACACCAACAATGGTTCGCAGACAATGATGATCAAAGACTTTAAGGCGCCGCAGGTCAAGAGTAGGACGACCCTCACTGTGGCCTTTTAGACGGAGAGAAACCCCTTTCGGACTCCACAGATTCAAAATAGGCAAAGATAAGTCAATTGATCAACTACCTCGAGTTCCTCGTCATCAAGGGTCAAGAGGGTATCAAGCGGCTGGTGGTCCTGTAACAGCATTTTGCACTTTAAAGGTGCGAAACGCATGCCAAATGATAGGACCACTCTAGAGAGGTTATTCAGCGTTGACTGCGCCGCCCCAGCTTCGTCAAAAAGCAGGACAATACCGTCCGTATAATCAAAGTAAATTAACTTGTCATCAGGCAGCACCTTGATGCCTGCATCACGAGGCTCCGCAAGGGAACACTTCGTGATGAAGTCAACGAAGTGGAACTAAATTGGGGACATTCGACAACCCTCATGGACGCCACTTGTTGTCGGAAAACTATCCGACAGCTCACCGTAGGCCCTGACGGGGCCTGTGGTGTTCGAGTATAGAGCACATAAAATGTCCACATATTTCAAGGAAACACCTTTCCGCATAAGTATCACAGCAGAATGCATCGATCGATTGAATCGAACCCATTGTTGAATCCCAGGAACATAGCGATTGTCGGCCTGCGGTGCTGCTTTAGCACCTGACGCAGAGTGAATATGTGATGTATACGTCCTGGGCGGAAACCTGCCTGCTCTTCCCTAGTCCGGGATTCCCGTTCCGCAGTGAGGCGACGTACGAGAATCGACGCCAGTACTGTTGTCACAACTGGCGTTAGGCTAATACCCCTGTGGCTAGAACAGTCGGTGTGACTGCCTTTCTTGTATATCGCCACTATAATTGTTTCACTCTAGTTACTTGGGATGGTCTCTGCCTTAGAAACCTGCTCGAACAGTGAGGCCAGTGCTTTGCCAAGGGACTTTACCTCCATCCTTAAATAGTGCGTGTGCGAGCGAATCCGGGCCAGCAGCCCGATAACGTTTGAGACCTGCAATCATCGGGTTTCGGACCTCAGCCCCCGATGGAGCCTTTAAGATAACCGTCCATAGCTCTTCCCGCATCACCTGAGTAGGAGGAGGTCTGAGAGCAGAGGGCCAGCTGAACTGATCTTGAAAGTGTTCCGCCCAACGAGCCATGTGGCGCTCCTTGTTGCGTAGCAGTACACTTGCGTTGTCTCTGATTGTCTCACTGGCTCCTGATTTCCTAGGGTCATTGATGCCTATCAACTGGAAGAGCTTGTGATAATTATCCACTCCTCCTGCCTCCTCCATTTCTTGCGCCCGACTGGTCCAACAGGCTTCCTTGTCAACACGTAGACTCCGCTTTAGTTCACGCCTAATAGCCCAACTGATCACATTGTGCTCAAAGCCAATCGGGAGTTTTCTGCATTCCAGCAGGTTCACCGACCTCTCGGATATCCAATGACTGGTACGATGACGATTGATAGTGCCACAAGTGGATGTTCCCGTGTCATGCATGGCGGCCGAGATCCTATTCCACTGACGCTCAATGTCATTAGGACGAGAGCGAAAGTTCGGTGCACAGATCATCTTGGTAGGCTTACTTGACCGAGGGCTGAGATAATTTCTCAGTTGCCAATCGAGAGACGCGCCTGGTACGCCTCCCGGTAACGGTCTTGGAAAAACGACAGCCTACCAAGGCATGATGAGAGTCGACGCAAGTATTCCAGAACGAGCGACAATCTAGGATGGAACCAGGCCACCTCTAACTTATGGCAACATGATCTGTTTGGGTCCATTGCTGGTCAGCGATAGGAGTACACCAAGTAGCAGTTCGGCGTTCACTATCTAAAATCGGTACTACTAAGAAACAGCTGGTGCTTCGCACACATCTGTTACAGACGCTCGCCGTTGTCCGTTGGTTGGAAGTTAAGTTCATACTTACCACCTAACTGAGCTTCAGACGACGTACTTGCGCATTCATATCCCCTGCAAAAGCTACATCTGAGCTGGTAACACTGCGTAATATCTGTTCAAGCCCATCGTAGAAAGCGTCATTTGCAGCATCAGAGCTCCAATCGGTGAAGCATAAGCGAAAACGACAAACAAACAGCGTCTAGTGCTATTCCGTGAATCAACCTTAGTTGATGTCGTCAAACGGATTGCGCATAAACGGCGGCTCAAGGGAATCCAATCAACCAACAGTGACTCATCTTGGAACTGAGAACAATGTCCACTCCAGCTCGACTAGTAGTTGCCGCATCAGCGTCTCCAGATGCTTCCAACCAATAAGGAGAGGACAACCCGGGTGCAGTTAATTCAACAAACCCGTGAGCTTCATTAATACTAGTTTCGGACACACAACACACGTCACTACCCAGCGTGTCTAGCGTGCGTGCGGGTGCAGTCTGTTGACCTATTTGTCTTAGACTGCGAACGGTACAGTGTGACCTTATAAGGAGCTGTTGGCGATGGTGTCCACTGGGCGTTGCGGGAACATAGCCGCATATGGTATGACTCCAGTAGCATTGCGGCTGCAGGACTACGGCGGAGCAAACGATAAGTCCTTATTTTCATATTTAAAGTACTAACTGTTCTACTGTTGTCGTTATTATTATTATTATTATCATTACTGTTATTTCGATATCCCCACCAACTATCCAACGGGATTTGCAAAAGAACGCTTCTTAATCCATATAAATTCATTGATCATTGCTGTCAGTTAAAATGGGGATTATAGTAGAAAGGCTAGAGGATGGGAGTAAGAGAAACGGATGAAAGAGAAAGAAGGAAGACGCCAGCAGTAACATGTTTTCGTTTGTCTGATCCGCTGTATGCAGCGGATAATGCGACGCTTGATAATCTGCGCGACGTCCGATGCAGGATATGGTTGTAATTTGAAGAAGTCATGGTTGTACGTCGGCTGAGATATTGCCAGGGCGCCCAGACGTAAACAGGAGGACGAATAGGGTCTTCAATCAAAGCCTGTCCGCGAAGCAGCGGGGAGATGGCAGTGATTTAGTTTTACAAAAGTGGACACCATTTCATTTCAATTCCCCAACCTGGAGGACCAGGAGTTGGTCTGACCTCTAACTATTGACCAACCCGGCAAGAGTAGTTCTCAAGAGGACAAAGAGCCCCACGAAGTATAGCATTAATGTGTTGACGAGGTACGCAAACCGTCACACCACGTTAAGGTCTTGTCTAATCGTGACCGGTCATTAATATTTATATCCAAACGGTAAAAAATCACCGACAGTTTGTATTGATTACTTATTGTCGTACGTGCGATTTCCCATGACTTGACGGATGTGGCTGTTAATCTTTATCTCCACTCCAAACCCACACATGTTCGTAGTACTATCGTCTATGAGGGTTAATGTTCCTCCATTAAGTTTGTGATAGTTCATAGCACAAGTTGTGAGAAATGCATGTGAGTGTACATGTGGTTATGCTGGATTGTGCAGTTGCCAAACTTGAACCTGATGTAGCATATGATTTGCTGTGTCGTCTCGGTTAGGCTAAACTCGATTGACTTTCTGTCGGACGTACGGTTGACACATGAAACATCCCGTGTGATGTGCAATGCCTGGCGGTGCTTGATGTGAATGTTGACAAGGTGCGAACACCCTCCACCTCGATTATAATGGCTCCAGTCTTATTCCTTTAAGTTTACATGGGATGTGTGGATGGAATTGTGGGTGATGCAACGCAAGCCACCCATAGTGCTTCTGTATGCGCAGAAGAGTCCTGTGGCTGTCCCTGTGGAGGCCACAGTGACATGCAAATCCGGACACGGATGTCGTTTTTTGTAGTAGGCATCCAAATGCCGACTCAGCGATACGGTTTAACTTGCCGCGGCCCATCACCTTGTTTGTGAAACCTCCTCCCAAACCATTGCCATGATGTTAACTCTGTTTTTCTCACATCAGGTCAGTCACGGTGGGTGGATCCGTCAGGCATTGCGCTTGCTTGCGCTCCAATCAGAGGGGAGTTGCAATTTTTCATCAAATTACTTCGGATCGACCATGACCAATTGTGGCATATGTCAACTGGGAGTAACATTTGATGCAACAGCCCTGCGAGATCTTTCTGCAAACACCAGGAAAGCATCACTCACAGCGGATAACGCTGTGTCGGAACGCAATTCCCGTTGTCCCTTTCATCGACCATCGCAACAACGCTTACCTTTGAGGTCAGTGTGCTACAATTTTGACTTGAGCAGCGCCGATCTATGTAGACAATCAGGCACAAAAGAAAATGCTCCCAGAAACATGAACACAGAACCGGATCCCGCTAAGACGCTTTGCTCACAAATGGAGGTTATCTTCATGGACGATGATGATGAGTATACTGGCCAACGTTGACAAACGCGTCATTAGGGTTCTTCAGTATTCTTTCATTAATAAAATCATACTACATGGAGCACTGTGGTGTTACTTGCTTTATAATATTGCAGATTTTTAACCATGCATCAAAACAAGGTGGCCGGCAGGCACCTGTTGTTGCACTCTATGGCAAGTGATTTAATTCTTTATACATGCCACAATCTGATATTCGCCCCTCGTCCCAAGAAGCTGACGAAGTACTACTTGCGTGCCCGTAGCATTGACCAAAAACGTTGTGTGATGGCTGTGATAGAGCAATTTTAATATTTTCCGCCGCTGTTTTATAAGGCACAACCCTATCCCAGAGTCGCTCATCTTTGTAACTCGGATGATGATTTGGACAACACAGTAGCGTAGCACACTTCGCTTTGCGGTGAGCATACAATACATTAATGAAAAAGGAAAATAAATACAAAAGTTGCATGCCAGTTGAGCTACCAGCAACGGATAGGCATCGTTCCGGTAAGCTACTAGCCGGCTACTAGACAAAAAAGAAAATTTTTTTGTTTTACGCTACGAAATGAGATCGTGGGTGGGGGAGGCTAAAAGTGGAGGGACAAAGAAACTCACAACGCGTCGTGACCCAAGCAAAGTGGACAAATGCCGGCCAACCTGTTTGACCGCAGTTTAGGCAAAGACGCTTGAGATCGTAAAAATGGTTTCCTGCAGCTTCTTGTGTCGGAAAGCATCCTGACGCCTGCACAGCATCATCAACCTACTATGGACGAGACACTAATGGTTGCGAGAGGTGAACCAAGGGAATTCATCATCATTAAACACGTTAGCTAGAGGTGGAAAACACCTCAGCTACTGTGCCGAAATACATAAAACAAAAGGAGAATAAATACAACAGTTGCATGCCAGCTGAGCTACCAGCAACGGATAGGCATCGTTCCGGTAAGCTACCAGCCGGCTACTAGGCAAAAAGAAAAATTATTACGTAAAATTATATTACACTACCAAATGAGATCGTGGTTGAAGGGGGTCTAAAAGGGATGGGGAAGGACAAAGAAACTCACAGCAGGAACGACACAGGTCGGTTCCTTGCCATGTCAGCAAGGGTATCCAGCCAAACGTGTTCACCGTCTTTTGGACCCCAACCAGGGAGCCGTGATGCTCCAACCGAGGCAAGCTCCGAAGTGAGGGCCTTCATTCCTGTGGACCAAGTCATCGCTTGGCCGCCCCTCCTCCTCTTCCATCCACATCCTTGGCGCACAAACAACGCACGTCGTGGAAGTCGATGGGCTGGCATCCGCAACATGTGGCCCAGTGTCGGCATGATCAGGTAGTTGTATAGAACGTTGATAGCAGGTTGCTCGGGAAAATTAAAAATCAGACCATATGATGTGACGTCTGGAAGGGTGGCAAAGGCATACTAAGTGGTAGCCTGAAATAAAATATTCGCATGTCTTTAACCGCTCTCACATACCTTATTAGAAAAAAAGTAACGCCCAAGGGAGAGTATAGTTGCGAAACATGTAGTGAGTCACATGAAACCCCGACCCTGCTCGTACGCTTGGCATATGGTTATAAAACAACCAAACAGTTTGATCACGTTCTGTACCATCAAGAACTTGTTGATGCTTTTGCGAATTTCATGCTTAATGCTGCAAGCACATATTCTGGCTGGCAGCTTGTTCCAGCCTTCGGCATATCTGTTAGGGAAAACATTCTCAGACCTTCTGGCCCTGGACTTACATTTCGCCACTGAGTTCTGTTTATTTTGTGCTGTGGATGACTGATTGCGTCAATATCATGCTGATATTATTATTATTATTCAACACTTGGCCAATGTAATTGTGAGTGCCACGACACAATTAACAACAACTAAAAGGGGAAAACGGGCAGTCAGTGAAAGTATTTGGAAAGTTTAGAAGGTTTATGTGCTGTGTGGGCAGAGATCTTTCTGGTGGCCTAGGCCGAGGAAGAGGGTTGACTTATGGGACCACACTCCGAGCCTTTGGTCTTAAGACCTAATCCGCAAGGCAACAGGCCGATTAACGAAGACCGATGACATCAGGGTGGCTTCTTTGTGTTCAGTAGCAGTCCACAGAGAAACCGGTGGCCAGTAAGATTGTTCATCCGCTCTCGGTTATATACTCACCTCTGCTTACAGAAGTGAGTGGTCAGTGACCCTATAGCCGGTCACATTGGCTTTGACACAACACCATACGAGCTCTTGTGGAACTTTCCACGCTTTGAGACGCTGCCACTAATTGTCCGCGACTGCTTATTCATCTCGCCTGCAAGGCAAACAAGACTTATTCGCAGTTACCTCCACAAGGAAGGCATTCCTCAATCCGCAACCTGGGGACGCGCCTGATAGCGTACAGCTCCGCCACGGGATGTCATTTTGAAGTTGGAAACATGTATAATTCTACGCAAGATGTTAATAGATATGACTGTGTTTCGCTTCATGCGCCGTGGACGGGAAGAATCAAACATCATTCAGAATATTCCAGTTTCGAAGAATCACCTAGTTGTTGTTTTGTGAATGCTCTTTGTACTTCAACATCGTAGAAAATACTTGGAACCTATAGAGAACTCATGATTTCAGAAAGGTTTGAAAACAGCCGGTTGGTATAGTTTGTGGGTAACGTTTCGCTTTTGACACAAGAGCTTCCTCAGGCCGAGTGAACCAATCAACGATTGGTATAACACTTATGGCGAACTGCGATGATAATCGCAACGAATGGGATGTAGGCAGAAGGTTAATCGCGTTACAGGTCCACGCATCAATCCAAATAGTGCATGGAACGGTCACAAGAGGTCCGCGTTACAAGGTCATACAGGTAAGCCCCATTAACGATGGGTGCGGGGATCATGTGATGTTCATTCTCTGCCCTAGATCCGTCCGCCGGCGCTCCTCAGACTGGTTGGGTTAACACAGCTCGCCACACGCTCGAAAGCTCTGTTCTGTCCATCCTGTTCAAGCAGCTGTTCATTTTGCTAATCTCAAGTGCCTCAGCAGTCAGCCTCTGGGGAATTGATCGCAACCCCTTTCTAACGATTTTAACGTTATCCAAGTCGATCTCATGTCCTGTATCTATCGCGCGCACCTCGTGTTTGCTCGCCCGACAACGCGATGCCCAAGTTTTACCACAATAGACCCTGTACGTAACAGTTACTTCAGTGTTATGGCTAAACGTCGATCAGAACAGAGCACACAGGCATCCAGTTTTCCACGAAACATTTGATCTCAAACACGTACCAGAATGTATAGATCGTTCACATGTGGATAGTCTATGCCTCGTCGCAAAGAAACATGCAGCGCCGCGGAATTTGTGCTAGATAGACTCCGCGATTGTGTGCGTCCGTGCTTCGTGTGAGATACGATTGGATATCCGGACTGACGTTAGAATTCCTCGGGGTTTTCTCAGGGTGCGCAATGTTCGACATTTTACGGTGCGTCAATGACATTTCCCGGTCGGGCTGTAGACGGGCATACAGCCACAGTCAATCGCTACACCACTGACCTAACTAGCATCGACAGAGAGGCTGACTGAAAGTATGGATTTTAAGGATCGATGTATAGCCTTTGTGCCTAATGCTACAGAAATGAACGGAGTTTGTGAGCTAATTTCATTCCATATAAAGAATACAAAGGGGAATGCTATGTTGCAATTGCCATTGCATTTCTATCCCAAGCGAAGTGAAACTGCACGATTTCAGACGAGTTTCTGTGGTTTTGTGCATTAGATATGGCCGTCACACCAGTCAAGATTGCACATGAACCATCTCAAAAATACGGTAGACCTGTAGCACCGATTAAGCAAATGACAAATGCCAAAACCGGTCCACTTGAAAAAAGCATGACGGTGAGTAAAGCCGTAGTCATCCGGGAGAAGTAGGCTGGGCAGCCAGTTACAAAAGGGTCACCTGTAGCTTTGAACATCAGTTGATGTGTCAATACCACTAACGGCCCAAAATACGCGTGAACCAGCCACCTCTAGTTTGATTGGAATGAGTACCAACAGGTCCTCGTCTACTCCCCAGACTTTTCCGATAGCTCAGAAGGGCTTGGACGTCATTCTTTATTAGAACGTAGTTGCGGTCAAGAGCACCCAAAAATTTAGGTCTTCAGTTTCTCATACTAGACCCGAAATATATGAAGGAGGCGAACCTGTACGTATACATCGTCTACCGATTATATGTATGCAGTCGGCCTCAACACAAGCTGCACAAACGGTCATTTACAGACCACAAAATGCACCGCCAGTGATCCACACACACGTTCTCAAACTGACGTTAGATTGGTTAAAAAGAAAGCAACGCGACGACATGCACCAGTGAAACCTCATATGGCATCCTAAGTGCTGCGGCTAAGTCCAACAATCTTATGCGGATCACTTATGACCCAAACTCAGCACTACGGTGAACCGAGACTTCCCCGAGTTGAGCCAACCTTCGCCAATGATTCAAAAGCTGTTACGCGATCGACACCTTGAATCCGAAATCAGTCCTACTCCGTCTACATCTTACCAGATATTCGTAGAGCGAGCGTAAACAGGCGAAACATGGTTTGGAGGAATATCGCAAGAAATCCATAACCGGGATTATTCTTGCTCACAGTGTCCCTGAGGCTAAAGGACATTATGAACGCGAAGCGAACACCTACATTCGCGAGACCCCTTCCTTGGAAAATGTGGCCGGCCTTTACTCGGTGTTCTTCTATCTTCCGACCCCCATAGTTCGCAGCTCAAGTTACACTAATTACAATGGTAGTCAAAACAATTCAATTTTTAAACGAGAAATCCCTTCCGAGTAGAAGGATTTTGGCGAGAAATCCTGTTTGTTGTGTCAGATTATGTAACGAGTAAAACCACCTCAGCCCCTCTGAAGTTGTTGTGTAGTATATCTCCGAAAGTACGGTTGGGAAACATCTACGGCCACAGAGTTGGAGCTCCATCGGTCAAATTCACGCACTTCGGATCTATGGCGCGACGGACCTATGGTTCATGTTACCTAAGTTTGTTCAC